GCTGCCAATCGGCATGGGGAACACTGACTTAGATGGCCCAATGCAGTATTGAGCAGCTTCATTGGTTCATAAGACATAAGGACTCCTCCAAATGTCAGACAGAAGACAAAGACCCTAAAGCACTTTGGGGGAAATGCCCCATTTTAGGCACACCTCCAGCAGGAAGAAACACCAGCTGAAGCCCAAATCTTGTGCAAGTTTACTTGGAACTGCCCCAAGTGATCATTTCTCCCAAATGCGATATGAGCCCCAGAGGGTACTGAGCAGTGTTCCCTCTAAGCTGAGTTAGTGTGAGCTAGCTCACAGTTTTTTAGCCTCCGGCTCACACAATTTTGTCTCAGCTCAGGAAGGAGGGCTCCAGAGCAAACTAATTTATGCAGTAGCCATATCACTCACTCACAACTTTAATGCCAGTAGCTCACAAAGTAGAATTTTTGCTCACAAGACTCCCCAGCTTAGAGGGAACATTGGTACTGAGGTCCACAAATCAACATCTGTTAGTGATTTCCGGCCCCAGGGACGTCCGACTTGCCTCAGCCAGGGCTTTTTCGGCCCTGGCCCCTGCCTGGTGGAATGAGCTCCTGCGTAAGATAAGGGCCCTGCAGGACTTTTTGCAGTTCCGCAGGGCCTGCAAGACGGAGCTCTTCCGCCCCTCTTTTCCTCCCTCCAGCTTCTCTGGCCCTAACGTTTTCTGCCCAGTTCTTCAGGCCAATTGTCCATCAGCGGCCTGATTTTGATTAATCATCTGACAATTTTCATCATTGTATGGTATCTTACGATTTTATGTGTAAACTGTTATTTTAATATTGTTTTAACTGTATATTAAATGTTGTACAGCGCCCTGAGCCCATCGGGGAGGGCGGTATATAAAGCTAATAAAATAAATAAATAAATAGGACTACCGTGTACATTACAAATACACATTGGTTTCGCACCAATGTATAAGCCAGCGTGCTGCAGCGGTTAAAGTATGAGACCGGGATCTGGGGAAACCAAGTTTGAAGCCCCACTCTCCAGGGAAGATCTCCATATAATACCCTGCAAAACGCTGGTCTGCACTCTGCCGCCAAAGGGACACCTTTGCTTGCTAAGGGACCTTTTGTGCGAAGAGCGATTTGGGCAACACTTGTTGGTTGACCTTGGGCCGATCATACAATCTCGGCCTAACCTACCTCACAGGGCTGTGGTGAGGATAAAATGGAGCACAGGAGAAAAAGGTAAGCGGCTTTGGATTCCCACTGGGGAGAAAGGCCGGGGTATAAATAAAGCCAATAGACACCATTTTTTACCAGAAAGCTTTCCCCAAAGAATCCAAGGTGATGTACTTTGGAGAGGGGGGGCTAAGAATGCTTCTGTTAGCTAAGCCCAGCCTCCCGCAAAGAACTGCGGTTCCCAGCATTCTTTGCAGAGAGGAATTAACTATTAAACAATTTGTGTCACGAGCACACAGGTGCGCTAAGCAGAAATGACTTCTGTCCACTTGGACAGGCACAGCAAGGGAGCGCAGGCACATATGTAGCGGCCTCTAACACTAGCCTGAGAAAAACAATGCAAGGGAATATGGGAAGCACAGTTTTCCCCCTTCAAGGAAGCGAAGATTGGGTCCAAAACAATGGAAAGCACAACTATTGATGGATTGATTGAAGTAGAGTTAAACAAGCGGGCGTCAACAGCATAACACCCCATTTGACACTACCGAGCACACACGCTCCTCTCCCAAGTATAGTGCCAAGAACGTATTCAGAAGCAACGAAAAGCTATTTACAACATTACTGGGAATTACAGTCACAATCAACCAGTGCTCAAACAGAGAGCTGCTTTAAGATTTGAATTATTTCGACGACACATGTTGCAAGCGCCATCAACGAAGACATTTGCCTCTGAGAGTTATCAATCTCATGACAGTCACCAAAAAAATCTCAAATAACCAAGCAGCACCCTACAAAATGACCCATAACTCAGAAAGGTGGGGTGGAAGAGGATTAGTTTATGTGCATGCAATCTGTTACTCCCGAGTTTTAAAAAGTGCATTTTTGATTGAACAAATGCCAAGGAGCTAGAGGAGAAAGGCAATATCTGTCCTTGATCCTTCGGAACTATTTCCAACACAAAACAGGTCTCCTTTCCTTACCCTAAGCCCTCTTAACTGACTTCCCAAGAGATGACACTGATGTCGCTTCAAGTCTGGCAAGCCCGAAAAACCAGGCAAAAGCGGAAGTTAGCAGCAGGTTGAGGCCTTCTGTACGCCACAGAGAACTAAGTTGAGAGCAGTGTTCCCTCTAAGCTGAGTTAGTGTGAGCTAGATCACAGTTTTTTAGCCTCTGGCTCACACATTTTTGTCTTAGCTCGGGAACGATGGCTACAGAGCAAACTAATTTATGCAGTAGCCAAATCGCTCGCTCACAACTTTAATGCCAGGAGCTCAAAGTAGAATTTTTGCTCACAAGACTCCACACCTTAGAGGGAGCATTGCTTAAGAGTTTTCCAACAATGGGATTCACTGTATCCTGCAGGGCTGGGACAGCATGCGCAGCCATCTCTGCAAGCGGCTAATGAACACAAGCAAAAACAGACTGTGCTGCTAATAACACAGAAAACAACACACATACACGGCCTACTCCCACCCAGGTCCTTCAAAATGCATCCTTCATACATATCTGGAAATGAGGAGCTTTTCACTTTGCTGTGGAACCCATGAGGTGGTAAGCAAGCCCAGGAGCAGAAAATTTTATAGTAGGGCTGGACTTTAATTTAAATTTACAAAGCAAGAGTACATGCACCGGCCCTCTTCAGTCAAGGCATAACTAATCTGGGTCGAGTGCTCTTGAATATGGTCTCTTGCTTAGGAACCTAATCAGAGGTGCGCCCGATCACCTCTTTGCAAGAGAGCTGGCCAGGCAGACCAGCTACGGTCCACCTTCTGACCCGTCCCACTTCAAGGAAAACAGCATGTTAATCTATGCACTCTCCTCCTCCAAGAAGCCATTCTGCTCTCCTAATGCTGCTCCAAATTCATCTTCCTAGTGCAGAGATAAAAGATTCAAAACCCTTCCCACTTCTTCTGTGGGAGACAGATAAGCAGGGCAAATGAACACACCCCCTACAGAGAACGGGGGGGGGGGGAACCCAGCGTCCTCCCCAAAGACGAGTTAAGGGGGAGTCAAAAGAGAAAGAAGGCGAACCAATACACATCCTGTACATGCGAGGAAGGCCTGTTCGAGAAAGGGTCAGGAGGAGGGCCGGCGGCAGGGGGAACCCTTCCCCACAAAGGAGCTCAAAGAGGAACAACCCACAGAGGCTGATGGGGGAAAGGCAGCAGGAAGAAGTTCCATGATAGAACACTTGGGGGGGGGGGGTTGGAAGCAGGGACCGCCCCCCTCCCACAGACTCCTCCAAAGAATGAGATTTATTGTTTTCCTCTAACGACGTTCCTCTAACGACGCACACCTTCTGCTCTTCCACAAATACGCAGGTTTCCTTTACACCCTGCCAAAGGACATGGGGAAGGGGCCCATGGGAACACGTGGGTCGGGAACACGTGGGTCGGGAGCAGTGTTCCCTCTAAGCTGAGTTAGTGTGAGCTAGCTCGCCATTTTTTAGCCTCCGGCTCACAGATTTTTCGACTCAGCTCAGGAAAGATGGCTCCAGCGCAAACTAATGTAGGCAGTAGCCAGATTGGCCGCTCACAACTTTAATGCCAGGAGCTCGCAAGGTAGAATTTTTGCTCACAGGACTCCACAGCTTAGAGGGAACATTGGTCGGGAGAGAAACCCACCAGGGTTCCACCAGAAGGCTGTTGCCAGATTCCCCAGGGGTGGGGCGGGGGCTGCCTCCCATCTTCATCTCCCATCTCCCCATGGGAATGACACTCCCCCCCCCCACCCCCCACCTCCAATCCAACCGATTTTAAACCTCCCTCGTCGTCCTGGATCCTCCCCTCTGCTCCCCTCCCACCACCAACTCTTACTGCCGCCTCCTCGGGGCAGAGACCTGCCTTCGGGCTGACGTCCCCGGAGGGGGGGGAGGGCCGCCCAGCAGGCAAGGCTTCCCATTCGGGGGAGAAAGAACCCCACTGGAAGGAGGAGAAAAGGAAGATGAAAGGCTGCGAAGGGGAAGGGGAGTGGGAAGGGGGGGGCAGACGTCTCCCCACCCCCACCCCCCAAAAAGGAGTCGCTTTCCCACTCAATGGCGGGGGAGGGGCATTTTCTGTGCAGGCGGGGCTTGCGATTCAGGGGGGAGGCGGAGAGGGCCCCTTGGCAGACACCCCCCCTCCCCTTTTGTCGAAGAGGAGGGGGCCGTGTGTGTGTGTGTGCGCCCCCCCCCCAAAAAGAGTCCCCCCTTTCCCCTCCTGGGGGGGGGATGGACGGAGAAGGCCCAACTCTGGAGGGGGGGGAGAATGTCCA